TGAATTTTTCTGGCAAGAATCTGTTTATATATAACCCTGAATTTAATACATAGCAGAAATTACAATATTTCACAATATAGGAAATAGGTGATATTGGTGATCTATGGGTCTAATTTAAGATGAATGCAGTTCTGACGTATGATGATATTAAATCTATATTAATGCTTTCAATCCTCCCTGGTCTGAGTAGTATCAAATTAGACGGTGTCTTACAAAATTGTGAAAAGAATAAGAGATGAACCGAATTTGGCGACAATGAGAAATTTCCGGTCGGTGGCAGCAGTGGGGCAGGGGGCTAATTTGGGAGTGCCTCTGTGGAGGAAAGAGTTAAATTGCCCCTCCACAAATGATCTTATCCCACCCATTGTCACTGCCCACAACTGCTGCATTTTGCATTTCTAAAACAAACTTTGGAACTCCCTGTCTATTGAAAACCAGGGAGGCAGTTTCACTGTTTCCTTTTGGGCACCTGCTTAGAATAATAATAATAATAATAATAATAATAATAATAATAATAATAATAATTTATTATTTGTACCCCGCCCATCTGTCTGGGCTTCCCCAGCCACTCTGGGCGGCTTCCAACAAAGATTAAAAATACATTAAAACGTCACACAGTAAAAACTTCCCTGAACAGGCCTTTAGAAGTTAAAGGTGCTTCATTTCTTTTCAGCTGCTGCTGTTGCTGTTCATCATCATTTGACTATTTGTAAGCACCTGCTTTTAACTCGCCTGTTATCCATAATTTTAAGGTTTCCGTTTATATTTTTGTAAACTGCATGGAGGTTTTCTTCCAAGCGAGCGGAATATAAATCTTGTTAAGTAGAGGAAAGCAGTAAGAAGCAGCAGCAGCATCTGCACTCGAGATGCAAAGGTGCGTTTGAAAGGGGTTGTGAATGAGCCAAGGGGACTTGCTAGGAAACAGGAATGATGCCAGCCACAGAGACAGTATCCTGCTCTTCTTTTTGCAAACACACACTCCAATCCTGATCCTTTCCTGATCCCACCCACCTTACATGCAGAATTCCACAACTACTAAGCATGCTCAGGAAGGCTATAGCTTTTTCTAGAGTGGTGCTTCATCATCATCATCATCATCATACCACAAGCTGGATCTGAGCACAAGAGCCTTCTGGTTGGATGGCGGCTAACATATTGAGGCTGAATCCTGACAAGACAGATGTACTGTTTTGGGGGACAGGGGGCGGGCGGGTGTGGGGGACTCCCTGGTCCTGAATGGGGCAACTGTCATTCTGGACTCACAGCTGTCCATGGAGGTGCAGGTCAATTCTGTGTCCAGGGCAGCTGTCTCCCAGCTCCATCTGATACGCAGGATGAGACCCTCCCTGCCCTCAGACTGTCTGGCCAGAGTGGTGCATGCTCTGGTTATCTCCCGCTTGGACTCCTGCAATGCGCTCTGCGTGGGGCTACCTTTGAAGGTGACCCAGAAACTGCAATTAATCCAGAATGCGGCAGCTAGACTGGTGACTGGGAGTGGCCTCTGAGACCACATAACACCAGTCTTGAAAGACCTACATTGGCTCCCAGTATGTTTCCGAGCACAATTCAAAGTGTTGGTGTTGACCTTTAAAGCCCTAAACGGCCTCGGCCCAGTATACCTGAAGGAGCGTCTCCACCTCCATCGCTCAGCCCGGACACTGAGGTCCAGCTCCGAGGGCCTTCTGGTGGTTCCCTTGCTGCGAGAAGCCAAGTTACAGGGAACCAGGCAGAAGGTCTTCTCGGTAGTGGCGCCCGCCCTGTGGAACATCCTCCCACCAGATATCAAAGAGAACAAGAACTACCAGACTTTTAGACAACATCTGAAGGCAGCCCTGTTTAGGGAAGCTTTTAATATTTAATAGGTTATTGTATTTTAGTGTTTTGTTGGAAGCCGCCCAGAGTAGCTGGGGAAACCCAGCCAGATGGGTGGGGTATAAATAAATTATTCTTATGATGATGATGATGTCCCTCCTATGGTTTCAAGCAACTGGACTTCAGAAGCATCGCTGTCTCCGACTGTGGAGGCAAAGCAGAGCCATCCTGGCTAGCAGAATTCGATAGCCTTTTCCTCATCCATGAATTTGCCCAGTCCTCTTTTAAAGCCATCCAGGTTGGTGGCCATCCCTGCTTCCAGTGGCAGTGAGTTCCAAAGTTTTAACTATGCACTGCGTGAAGAAGGCCTTCCCTTTAGAGCAGAGCTGTTGCCAGCTAAACAAGGGATATCATAGCCACAGGCTTTAAAAAAATCTATACATAAAAATAATAAAAAGTTGGAATGTGTGTCTGAAGGAGGAGAGAGGCTGGTGGAAGGGAGCTGAGATTTGAGGCGCCCTTTTTACCTCTTGCCTGGGAATGTGATCTGGGACAGGCAGCGCTTGGGCTGCTAGATATCTGTGGTCCTCAGTGGAGGGCCTGAGATGCTTCTTGCACCGAGATGAAAGCTGTACTTGTGTGGGATTCTGTCCTGCGACAAGCCCTGTAGGGGGCTAATGTGGAGGCTTGATACATGCTTGTAATTACCGGAGGTTCTTTAGCACCCCGTGTTCTACAGGACGGCAATAGATGAGTCCCTCGTGACCTTAAATTCAGTAAATCTGTGCCATTACGGAGAAGGGGGACAGAGAGAACCATTCTCCTCCCTTTCCTAATCCTGGATCTCACGGTTTAGCCAGTGAAGTGAAGGGGCTGTCGATTCAGGGCAGACAAACTTCTTCCCGGGACCCATCTCTGACTCGTGGAGTTGGCTGCCATGAAACGGTTGCAAAGGTTGCAGGAGCAAAAAGTGCAGGCAATCTTGAAGCAATCGCTTTGCAAGATGTGAGCTGGCACCTGCCGTTCAGGTTCTCGGTCAATGAGTGAAGTCTGAGTGTCATCAATGAGTGTAAAATAATGGGTAAAGGACCCCTGGATGGTTAAGTCCACTCAAAGGCGACTCTGGGGTTGTGGAGATCATCTCATTTTCAGGCCAAGGGGGCCTGTGTTTGTCCACAGACAGCTTTCCGGGTCATGTGGCCAGCAGGACTAAACAGTTTCTGGCGCAATGGGACACTGTGACGGAAGCCAGAGTGCATGGAAACACAGTTTACCTTCCCACCACAGTGGTACCTATTTATCTACTCACACTGGTGTGCTTTTGAACTGCTGGGTTGGCAGGAGCTGGGACAGAGCAACGGGAGCTCACTCCATCATGGGGATTCAAACCACCAACCTTCCAATCGACAAGCCCAAGAAGCTCAGTGGTTTAGACCCCACCCTTGTCCCAACGAGTGTGGTCATGACCAACTAAGCCTTCTAATGGAGGCTTAAATTGGTCAGAATCGAGTGTATGCTTCCAGAGTTAACACCAAACGCATCACTTCTGACAAAAGAGCCACCATAGCTGCTAGAGGACTGTCGTTTCCGTGTGCTGCTCTGGTTTGCCAGAAGCAGCTTAGTCATGCTGGCCACATGACCCGGAAAAATGTCCGCGGACAAACACCAGCTCCCTCAGCGCTCAGCGAGATGAGTGCCGCAACCCCAGAGTCATCCACGACTGGACTTAACTGTCAGGGGTCCTTTATCCTTTTGGCCCATATACTTTCTGAAACCAAGGGGTGCATTGGTTGCCAAATGTGAAGTTTTTTCCAGCTCTCCTACTGGATTCACACTGCGTTCATACACTAATGCAGCCAGGGTTGTGGGGTGTTAAGCTGATAGTAGCAGCAACGTGGAGAGGAGGAAGGATGGCTAAATATAACACTGGGAAGTTATATTGATATCACATCCTTTTTTGCTCAACAATCAAAGGAAAAGAACAATGGGGAACGTTGGCTGTTGACCTGCGCTTATCACTTTGCTGTAGTTATTATGAGGTACACATAATAAATATCTGCAGCAAATGCTCTTAGCATTCATTGGCTTGCCTTATAACACTTTAATCTTGAATTTATCCAGCACAGGCATCTGAATTCTGGTTGATTTAAAGCGGCGGTTCCCAAACTTTGGGAGGGCCGCCTTCTTGGTTCCATAAACCCGTCCCCCGGGCCTCCTACACCACCCTATAAAAAGCGTCATGCAGAATAGAAGTTTGCACGGCCCACTGGGAAGGTAATAACACAATCAAATTCAGAACGGTAACAATGGATTGCACATTTATTCAAAATCCAATTAAAACCTGTTAGTTTAATTAATTCAAGAAAATTGGTGGACTTGACCTGGTGGTGATACCCACTTTTTGAAGTTTGGTAGTCATTTGCACTTCCAGAGCCCCTGCCCAAGCCCTCCCCCCTTAGGGCTCCTCCAAGCTTCCTTTTGTGCCCCACTTTCCAGGCACAGGTCTGTGCTATAAAATAGCTCAGTGTTTGAGTGTTTGTTTGTGTGTTTCCCAGAAAAACCCATGTTTTACTTCTAAATCGGAGCAAATGGCGATCCTCCGAAAGACTGATTGCTGTTAGCTCCAATTTGGATGTAGAACTTCAAAGTCCTCTGCAATTCCAGGTTTGGTTGTGCCAGCCTGAGAGCAACCATCCACAGACCTATAACAAAAGGACAGGTGAACAGCTAATGGCACCTGAAGGGCTGAGGGTTGTCACTGGGGCAAACCAGGCCTCTTGGGCATTGAACAACTGGAGGCAGGAAGTTTCTACAAAAGCGAGGAAAGATTAAGCTTTTTCTGGTGTGGAAATATAATCATTGGGGAGTTTCGCCTGTTGACATCTGTTAGACATGTTCTTTTCATGTGACACCAATGTTCTTCTTCTTTTGCAAGTGGACCAGAGGACTCGACTGGGGAGTTTCGCCTGTTGACATCTGTTAGACATGTTCTTTTCATGTGACACCAATGTTCTTCTTCTTTTGCAAGTGGACCAGAGGACTCGACGCATGTTTACCATGCATCGGGTCCGAAGTGCTTTCCAGGGTTCAATCTGGATTGCTTGGCCCTTCTTCGTTCTGCATCCAGAGCAGCGTTCAATCGCGACAAAGAGAGCCTGGCTTGACCACCCCTTTCTCTTTCCCAACAGCGCCACCCAAGGAGCCCGCATTGATGTGCCGGTCGAACAATTACCCCAGCGGCTTCTACTGCAGTTGGCACATGCCCATCCCGACGTACATTCCAGACACCTTCAACATCACCGTAATGTGAGTAGGGCCTCGAGGGAAGGCATTCCTTTGTGGGGCGGGGTGGGGGGAGAGCCTTCTCAGAACAAAAACACAGCACTGGGCGCATGCGACCTTGACTGGCCTGGCTGCTTTCATGAACATCAGCTTGAAGGCAGTCACCGGAGATCATTCCACAGGCATTTGTGCCCTTTTCCCAGCTGCTTTTACTGGAATTTTATCTAGCTTTTGACCCTCTAAACCAGCAGTTCTCAATCTGTGGGTCCCCAGATGTTGTTGGACTACAACTCCCATCACTCCTAGCTAGCAAGGCCAGAGCTCAGGGATGATGGGAGTTGTAGTCCAACAACATCTGGGGACCCACAGGTTGAGAACCGCTGCTCTAAACAGAGTGTTTAGGGCAGGGACAGACTCTACGAGTTGGAAGGGACAACAGGGGTCACCCAGTCCAGCCCCCTGCACTGCAGGAATCTTTTGCCCATCGTGAAGCTCAAACCCACAACCCCGAGATTAAGTGTCTCATGCTCTTATCGACTGAACTATCCCAGCAGTTAATCCAAGGGGGAACCTGTGGCGTTCCAGACATTAAATACATCAGAAGTGCCTGGTGGATGAGGTCAATGGCCCATCTGGTCTGGTCTCCTGTTCTCGCAGTGGCCAAACAGATGTTCATGAGAAACCTGCAGACAGGATTCAAGCACAAGAGCCCTCTCCCAGTATGTTTCCGAGCACAATTCAAAGTGTTGGTGTTGACCTTTAAAGCCCTAAACGGCCTCAGCCCAGTATACCTGAAGGAGCGTCTCCACCCCCATTGTTCTGCCCGGACACTGAGGTCAGCACCAACACTTTGAATTGTGCTCGGAAATGTACTGGGAGCCAATGCAGGTCTTTCAGGACTGGTGTTATGTGGTCTCAGCGGCCGCTCCCAGTCACCAGTCTGGCTGCCGCATTCTGGATTAGTTGTAGCTACAGACACCAAGTATCAAGCCTGGGACCTTCTGCATGCGAACTCTTGGAATTCACTTCCAGGAGGTGTTGTCGATGCCTAGCTAGATAGAACAATGGTCCAACAGCCTGTAAACAGCTTCCTGCAGAGCACAAACACAAGCCCTCAATTATATAAAAATGATAAGGAGAAAGCACAATTGGCGAAGATCCAGGCAAAACACACCTGGGTATACAGCCGCCATTAAAACAATACCTAAGCATACCACGGTCCAAAAGTATGGGAGAAATATACAGCAATGTATATATAAATAACCGATCAATATTAGATGAGAGTCCAGATAGTGTCTTGCTTCTAAACCACTTTATCAAAACATGTTTGCTGCAAAATGCCTTTGTAACCGCATATATTACTTCACCAGTCCTATGCTCTCAGAGGCATAAATCTTCCTTAATCGTGCTGCGGGGACCAATTCTCAAAGATAGCATGGGGAAGAGAAAGCAATGCGCTCTGTCACTGAGCTTCAGCCCACCCCAGAGTGGGCAGGACTCCTGATCCTTGGCGAATTTTGTAGAAGAGGAGAAATTGGGTAGGCACAGCTCATTGTGGCCTTTTTGGGGAGGGGGGAATCAATGTCTCCCCACTTGCCGTAATGCCCTCTCCTGCAGTGTGCTGGAAGGCGCAGAAAGTGAGTTGAGGATCCTGATCTTTGATGGTCAACCAGGGCAGTGGCTGGTAGATTTACTTGCTCTGAATTATTTCAGCACACCCTCGCAACAGTGAGTGCCACAAGTTACCGTCATGTGAAGAAATATTCCCTTTTGACAGTTTTAGAGGTGCGCTATCCCCAAGTAATTTAGCCAGCTTCATCAAAATTATTTGCTTCCTTCCAGATCCTCCTGTTACTTGGCCTGAACTGGAACTTCCAGCTACAGCTTGGGATTTCACTTTAGGTGAAATCTGGTGGCAAGTGCTGATGCGGAGATTTCCTCCCACATGTCAGGATCTTGTCTGTGTCCACCGTTATTTGTGCTGAACAACAGCCACCGACTTGCTCTCCTTGTGAAGGGCTTAAAAAAAAGGTCTGATTATGAGGCGGGGGAAAACATAAATTCTATTTCCAGGACAGCAGCCCGAAGCCTGTTTCCTTGATAAACAAGGACTGTGGTGCCTGTTCTTGTGAGAGTTGACAGGGTCAACATGATGTACGCACTCAAGGTTGGAGAGAACATGATGCTTTCATCTGAACTTTCCCCTTCTCTTCCCACCTCAGTCTTTGCACCCTGCAATCCAAAATATCATCCCTGATATTTTGCTGCAACCCTAAGTTTGAGCCGGGCTTTCCTGCATCTCTTGAATAATGGAGAATGTCTCTGAGCATGTGCAGAATTTTACTCCTTCTTTTGAGTAGCTACTGCCCTGTGTGATAGTACAGGGAGGGTGTGAAATCCCAGACTTGAAATTCAGCCCTGAATATGGGCCCTCATGTGAAACCCCAATCCGGCCATTTTCCACAAATATACGAAGTTGGCATTTATATCTGTTCATCTCAGTCTTCTCACCTGCGGACTCGCCTTCACTGGATGTTTTTAGGCAGAGGTTGGAGGTTCAACTGTCCGGGATTCTTTACCTGGGATTCCTACATTGCAGGGGGTGGACTAGAGGACCCTTTAAGACCCCTTCCAACTCTACCATTCCATGATGCTGTGATTGGCGGCTGCTCTCCGAGGCCTTGCTTCTCCCTTTGGCCAACACCTCTTGCTGCCACTTTCTGCATTTCTGCCTGAGACTCCTTAGGAATTACTACAAGTGTGATCTAGATGACACAAGCTGCGTTTAGTTCCCCTTGAAATGGAGCAGGATGTCAGTGAAGTCATGGCTAACCTTTCACAGTGATTTAAATGGGATATAATCTGGATTCAGAAGTAACATCTTTCCGCAGGGCCTGCAAGACAGAGCTGTTCTGCCTGGCCTTTGGTTTGGACTCAGTCTGACCCTTATGTTTCCCTCCCCTTATGGTTTTGACTTTTAAAATGAGGCTGCATTTTAAATTGTATTTTAACCCATATTTTAAATTGGGGTTTTTTTACCCCCATTATGTTTTTATTGTAACTTTACTGGTGTTAGCCGCCCTGAGCCCGGCTCTAGCAGAGGAGGGCAGAGTATAAATAAATTTAAAAAAATATATTATTATTATTAACAAAGAAGGGTGTATCTACCTATGTGTGCAGCAAAGAGTTTCCTAACTGGTGGAGGGTAAAGTGGTATTTCATTATATCAATGTGGTTCTGAACTGTGATAATTTGGGGAAAGTAGGGGTAAGGGAGGGACGCCGGTGGTGCTGTGGGTTAAACCACAGAGCCTAGGGCTTGCCGATCAGAAGGTCGGCGGTTCGAATCCCTGCGACGGGGTGAGCTCCTGTTGCTCGGTCCCTGCTGCTGCCAGCCTAGCAGTTCAAAAGCACGTCAAGTGCAAGTAGATAAATAGGTACCGCTGTGGCGGGAAGGTAAACGGCGTTTCCATGCACTGCTCTGGTTCGCCAGAAGTGGCTTAGTCCTGCTGGCCACATGACCCGGAAGCTGTCTGCGGACAAACACCGGCTCCCTCGGCCAGTAAAGCAAGATGAGCGCCGCAACCCCAGAGTTGGCCACGACTGGACCTAATGGTCAGGGGTCCCTTTACGTTTCCTCCCTGCGTCATCTCAGCCTCGGCTCTTCTCTTTCTCCAGGCACGACTCCAAGGAGATTGTGTGTGACATGGACGTGTCCCTCAAAAACAGGTGCTACATCCGGTACCTTCACCTTTTCTCCAGCAAGAAGTACAAGGTGACTTTGACGGTCACAAACGCTCTGGGCAGCAGCTCCACCTCCATCTCTTTCGACGAGTTCGCGATAGGTAAATATGGTGGCTGGTCCCGGCTTCTGCCTTGGGAGAGGCGTCGCACTTTTGTGTTTGCAAAATGCTTTGCAATCTGTTGTTGTTAATATTTACTTGTTTGTTAGCCACCCATCTAACCGGGTTGCCTCACCCACTCTTGGGCAACTTCCAACAAATTAGTAATTTCATTTTATCTTTTTACGCTTCGAAATATATATTGTGCACGCCTACTACACACAAATGTATGGTGCTTGATACAGTATTGATCGGAATGCGGAACAAAAATATATTGTACATTGGACCGAATATATACATATTATGAGGTGCAGTTTAAATCACTTGGTGAATGGAAAGTGAGGGAATAGTTATATTGCCTTTCATCCAAAGATCACAAGGTGGTTTACAAGTCTGAACTGGCTTCAAAGAATCATTGAATTCTAGAGTTGGAAGGGACATCTGGGCTGCATCAATAGGAGTATAGCATCTAGATCAGGGGAAGTAATAGTGCCCCTGTATTCTGCTCTGGTCAGACCTCACCTGGAGTACTGTGTCCAGTTCTGGGCACCACAGTTCAAGAAGGACACTGACAAACTGGAAACGTGTCCAGAGGAGGGCAACCAAAATGGTCAAAGGCCTGGAAACGATGCCTTATGAGGAACGGCTAAGGGAGCTGGGCATGTTTAGCCTGGAGAAGAGGAGGTTAAGGGGTGATATGATAGCCATGTTCAAATATATAAAAGGATGTCACATAGAGGAGGGGAAAAGGTTGTTTTCTGCTGCTCCAGAGAAGCGGACATGGAGCAATGGATCCAAACTACAAAAAAGAAGATTCCACCTAAACATTAGGAAGAACTTCCTGACAGTAAGAGCTGTTCGACAGTGGAATTTGCTGCCAAGGAGTGTGGTGGAGTCTCCTTCCTTTGGAGGTCTTTAAGCAGAGGCTTGACAACCATATGTCAGGAGTGCTCTGATGGTGTTTCCTGCTTGGCAGGGGGTTGGACTCGTGGCCCTTGTGGTCTCTTCCAACTCTATGATTCTATGATTCTGTCCCAGTGGTCATCTAGCCCAACCCTCGCAATACAGGAATCTCAGCGAAATAATCCCTGACAGATGACCACCCGACCTGTTTTTGTAAACCTCCAAGGAAGATTCCTTCTTACAACAGCCACTCTTGGAGGTGGGTTGCTAGTATCCCTCCCTCTGCCCATTCTACAGAAAGCACCTTTTGCAAGGCCACATTTCAGGGCAGAAACAAGGCTTGAACCTCCCTGTACTTTGACATGTGATGGGAGGGTGTTCCACAGGGCGGGCACCACCACTGAGAAGGCCCTCTGCCTGGTTTCCTGTAACTTGGCTTTTCGCAGTAAGGGAACTGCCAGAAGGCCCTCGGCGCTGGATCTCAGTGTCCGGGTAGAATGATGGGGGTGGAGATGCTCCTTCAGATATACTGGACCGAGGCCGTTTAGGGCTTTAAAGGTCAGCACCAACACTTTGAATTGTGCTCGGAAACGTACTGGGAGCCAATGTAGGTCTTTCAAGACCGGTGTAATATGGTTTCAGCAGCCGCTCCCAGTCCCCAGTCTAGCTGCCGCATTCTGGATTAGTTGTAGTTTCCCGGGTCACCTTCAAAGGCAGCCCACGTAGAGCGCATTGCAGTAGTCCAAGCGGGAGATAACCAGAGCATGCACCACTCTGGTGAGACAGTCCGTGGGCAGGTAGGGTGTCATCCTGCATACCAGGTGGAGCTGATAAACAGCTGTCCTGGACACAGAATGGACCTGTACCTCCATGGACAGCTGTGAGTCCAGAACGACTCCCAGGCTGTGCACCTAGTCTTTCAGGGGCACAGTTACCCCATTCAGGACCAGGGAGTCCCCCACACCCACCCGTCCCCCGTCCCCCCAAAACAGTACTTCTGTCTTGTCAGGATTCAACCTCAATCTGTTGGCCGGCATCCATATAGATTGTGGAATAAATAGATTGTGGCATCTTGTCTTGGTGGGAACTGCGTCTTCCCAGGCTTTCCTTTGCTGGACCACCCAGTACGAGGGATGGGCTGGGGAGGATCCTCCAAATGTAAAGGGCCCCAGGAGATGATCCAGCCTCCTCTGGCTTGGAGAAGGCTCCCTGCTTGGAATTTCTGGCAGAACATTTCCTTCCCCGCCAGTAAGATGGAGGAAGAGCACTCAATCGCCTGGAAAATGAGAGATGCTATCCTTTGATCTCCGCTGCAGCTGCACACCAACAGGAATGAGCTGCTCGCTGTGCGGAGTCGCGGCACATTTCCATTTTAAATGGCAGCAGAAATATGCGCTGTTTGTCCGACGTGTCCGGCCTTCCGCTCCGCTCTCTGTCCCTCCAGAATTGCTTGCTTAATGATGCCTTCTGAGCAAACAGAGACCCACGGTGGGCTCTTTGCCAGGAAGACAGAAAGGGACCCGGCGAGCTCGGCCTTGCTCTTTGCTCGGAGGAAACGGAGGGCAGGCGAAGAAGGAAGGGTTTTTCAAGCATCTGAGCAAGCGATCAGAACGGAACGAGGGTCCCGGATTCGGAAGGAGAGAATTAAGAAAAGCGCCAGAGTGGCAAACCTCAGAAACCTGCTTGCCACCACATTTTGGGTGACATTAAGCATCACAGTGTAGTGAAATGTGCAAAAGCAGTGCAGGCTCTCATCAACCAGGGTCTAAGAGCATCAGGGAATGCAGGGATAACCAAGGACAGCTGCTGCGTCACATGCAGTTTGAAAGGTATTTGGTGCGAGTTGTGCAAGAAAAGATTCAGAAGCTATGCAATGGCAGGGTTTTCCAAGAGGGTGTTTTGATTTGATTTATTATCTTTCTAAGCTGCTTTTCATTCAAGTGAATCCCAAAGCGGCTTGCAAGCGATAAATGACAATAACACGGTAGAGCGTCGTGAAACATCGCGAAAACTGCAAGAGTCATATCGAATAATCAACAAATCATCTGTGAAACAGTTGAAATCTATAAAACACTGTTAACAAAGCAACAGCTAAAAAACTAAGCTGCACGTCACAATTAAAGCAAAATCCATGCTATTCAATTAACAAAGCAGTGCAGCATTTATAACCTATAAAACAATATTAACCACGCTAACAAAATAACAGCTGAAAAATAAACTTAAGCAGAGTTAAGTTCATGCACACACACCCCATGACTCGAAATCCTCCACTCTATTCAGTGCATTAAAATGCACATTCCTCCAAAGTCTGTGACAGCAACTCCCTTCCGAAAGGCTCCTTGGGCTGGAGGTGGGGCAGCACAGGTGAGACCACCCCCTGATGGCAAATCGAGTCTCTCCCCCCTCACAGTTCAGCTCTGTCAGATGGCAACAGTGGTTGCTCGTGAGTAACCAGTCAGGATTCCACCTTTTACAGGTTTTATTTTGGTGTGAAACTATTTACAGTACAGTACCACAAGTTGAGGGACACGGGTGGCGCTGTGGGTTCAACCACAGAGCCTAGGACTTGCCGATCAGGTCGGCGGTTCGAATCCCCACGATGGGGTGAGCTCCCGTTGCTCGGTCCCAGCTCCTGCCAACCTAGCAGTTCGAAAGCACGTCAAAGTGCAAGTAGATAAATAGGTACCGCTCCGGCGGGAAGGTAAACTGCATTTCCGTGCGCTGCTCTGGTTCGCCAGAAGAGGCTTAGTCCTGCTGGCCACATGACCAGGAAGCTGTACGCCGGCTCCCTCGGCCAATAAAGCGAGATGAACGCTGCAACCCCAGAGTTGGTCATGACTGGACCTAATGGTCAGGGGTCCCTTTACCTTTACCACAAGTTCATGTCTGCCTCAATCGCTAGCAGAATCCGGGAGTGGTCGTTTCCGGGTCCTCCCCCAACATACCCAGCCTTTTCCTTCCTTCTTTGCATTTTACACCTCTGCGCAAAGTGGGCGACGGAAGAGGCGTGCTTCCCTCCTGGCTGGCTTGGCCAGGAGCAGTGCTGAGGCTCCCAGCAGCATCCTCTACGGTCTAGTCCCTTCCCCTCTTCCCCACTGGAGGTGGGGCTTTCCCCACTGCAGGAAGAGGAACTGCTTTGCAAGATTTTCGGAGATTTCCCTGTAACCCCTCTGCCTCCCTTCCCTCTTCCGATGGCAGTCCCCTGACAAGCTCCCTTATAGAGTGAGTCTCCATCCCAGCACTCTGTGAGCTGGTGGATTTCCACAGCACAACATCACCCCTCTCTGGCCTACCTGAGCTTCCCATCGCACAGTGGGTTGGTCTAGATGTCCCTGGGGACCCCTTCGGACTCTGCAATTCTGTAGACACTGGGAGTGTGACGGGGAAAGGGAGCGAGAGCCCGCCCACCTTCCCAAGAGCTCAGAGAAGCATGCAGGGTTCCCCACCACCACTGCGCCCATCAACGTGTTTTTGTCTTCACAACAACCCTGCGAAGTGGGCCAGGACAAGAGCGAGGGACCCTCCCAAAGTCTCCCATGGGGTTTTGTGGCTTAGTGGGGATTTGAACTTGCCCAGAGACCTCCGCAGGCGGAAGGTGAGCTCGGCTTTGTTCCTGATTTTTCTTCCTTTCTGAGCCTGCTTGGCAAAGCCCGCCCAGGACAGCTGTAAAAATACCATACTTTTCCGTGTATAGCACACCCTCATGTATAAGACGCCCCCTAGTTTTGAGGACTAAAGATTTAGAAAATAGGGGGGGGAGATTGCCCACAGTTGTTGAGCTTTTCTTAGGGGGGATTGCCGGGGGGAAACCTCACTCGCGCACATCGCAAAAACCTCCTAAGCTGCCTGCAGCAACAACCAATCAACACCACCCCTTGCCACAGTCACCAATAACATGCTATAGGCCATCTCTGGCTTGCAGTGTCAACCAATACAACGTCCCCCCCGGCACTACCCATGTGTAAGACAACCCCCAATTTTAAACATTATTTTTCTGTTGAAAAAAACCTAGTCTTATACGGTGGTACGTCTGGTTGCAAGCGGGATCTATTCCAGAGCCCTGTTTGCAACATGAGCAGAACGCAATGCATGTGTGCGCA